AAAGGCAGGAGTTTTTAATGGGCCACAAATTTGCTATCTTATAAATGTATAGAATTCATTAAAATAATGAATTTCAAAGAGAAAATGGCTTGGTTGTCATTTGTGGTTGTTGTAAAAACTTTCTTGGAAATAAAAAAGCAGAAAACTATTCAGATTTAGTTGATAAAATGCTGAAAGCTTTTTGTGATCTTAGATGCAAATTTAGTATAAAACTTTATTATATAAATAGTCATCTTGAACAGTTTCCTGAGAATCTTTGAGGTATGAGTGAAGAGCAAGAAAAGCAATTCCGTCAAGATCTTAAGACAATCAAAGATCGTTACCAAGGGCGTTGAGACTTGGGACATTATCTAGTCTAAATTCTAATCGCTTTATTTAAGTCATCCTAGAATGCTAACACCCTTTTTTATTTCCAGTTATTTCTGGAGTACCTTAAGATTCTATTATTAGTCCTGTTTTATTTCTTATCTACATTAATGATCTTCCCGATAACGTTACATATAAAGACTAAAAGTCTTCTCTTTTTGATCGCTTTAGGCAGCCAATCTTAAGTCTGATCTCACTTCTGTAACAGGTTGGGGCTCACAGTGACTTGTAAATTTTAACCACAACAAAACTCAGTTGTTTACTGCAAACAACTATCACAGTACTGTCAATATTCTTATATTAATGTATGGCAACCCTCTCACTATGTCCTCTTCTTTATACCTTCTTGGATTATTGTTTACAACTGACCTTTCATGGAAACCATAAATACAATCAATTGCAAAATTAGATTTTGCAATTAGTTTTGTTTCTTAACTACATAAACGATCTTCCTGACAACCTTTCATCTAAAGTAGCTCTTTTTGCTGATGACTCAACTTTATACTCCTGTCTTGACAAAAAGTCTTCTCTTTTCGATCGCCTAGAACAAGCAGCTGATCTTAAATCCGATCTCACTTCAGTAATAGATTGGGGTGTGAATTGCCACTCAATTCACAAGCCACTGTGAATTGAAATTCACAGTGGCTTGTGAATTTCAACTCTAAAAAAACCCAGTTGCTTACTGCAAACAACTACTGTAATATGGTCAACATTCCTATATTAATGAATGGCAATCCTCTTACTGAGTCCTCCTCTTTACGTCTTTTTGGATTATCGCTTGCTACTGACCTTTCATGGAAACCATATATACAATCGATTGCTAAATTAGCTTCTGCTAAGGTTGCTTCTCTTTATCATGCTTGCCATTTCCTTACTTCTGATTCCATTCTCTACCTCTACAAATCTCTTATTCGTCCCTGTATGGAATATTGTTGTCATGTCTGGGCTGGTTCTTCTAACGATTCACTTTCTCTTCTTGACAAGGTTCAAAATTGCATTGTAAATGTTGTTGGACCTGGACTATCTGGTAAGCTTGAGCCTCTTTTCCATTGTCGTAAAGTTGCATCTCTTTCTCTTTTCTACAAATACTATCATGGTCACTGCTCAAAGGAGTTATCATCTCTAGTTCCATCAACTAAAATTCATTCTTGTTTTACTCGTCATTCAGCTAAGTCTCATTCGTTTACTGTATCTGTCCCTGCATGCTCTAAAAACTTTTGTTTATCTAGTTTTTTCCCCCGCACTTCAATCCTTTGAAACTCTCTCCCATCTTCATGTTTTCCTGACTCATACAACCTTCAACTTTTCAAGTCTTCTGTCAACCATTTCCTTGCTCTATAACTCTTTTCTTTTTTTTCTAGTAACTCCCAACTTAATAGTGGTTGCTTTTAGCCTTGTTGGGAGTAAATGCAAATAATAAAAAAAAAAGATTGTGCTAAGGTTGCTTTTCTTTATCATGCTTGCCATTTTCTCTCTCCTGATTACATTTTCTACCTCTACAAATCTCTTATTTTTCTGTGTATGGAATACTTTTGCCATATTTGGGCTGGTTCTTCTAATGATGCTCTTTCTCTTTTTAGACAAAGTCCAATAATGCATTGTAAATATAGTTGGATTAGGTCTATCTGCTAAGTTTAGGCCTCTTTACCATCGTCATAAAGTTGCATCTTTTTCTCTTTTCTACAAATACTATAATGATCGCTGTTCAAACGAGCTATCGTCTCTAGTTCTATCAACCAAAACTCATTCTTGTTGGACTCTTTTACTGTATTTGTCCAAAACTCATTCTTGTTTTACTTTTTCTGTATCTGTCCCTGCATGCTCTAAAAACTTTATTTGACTCATTTTTTTCCCTGTACCTCAATCCTTTGGAACGCTTTTCCATCTTCATGTTTTTTCTGATTCATACAACCTTCAACTTTTTAAGTCTTCTGTAAACCGTTTCCTTAATAGTGGTTGCTTGCAGCCTTTTATAATAGTGGTTGCTTGGCTGTTTTTATAATATAATAAATTCATATTTAAAGTTTATCACTTTAAATATGAATTTGTTATAAATTGTCTTTTTCATTCTTAATAACAATATTTGTCACATAAAGATTAATTTGAAGTGAAAAGATTTACCTAAAGAAAACAAGGTTGTCTGTAAATTTACTTGTGCTAAATTTAGTGCTTTGTTACAATAAATTGTTCATTTTTTTTAGACTATTAGTGAGCATTTCAAAGAGAATAAAAAGTCACACATTTTTTAACATTTAAAAATAACATAATGTGTGCAGGGAAAATTTATTTTTATGATTTACTAATAAACTAAAAATAAGTTAGAACTAAAAATTAGTGTGAACTTGAAATTATTGAAAATTCATCAAATCAAAAAATCTTGTGTTGCAGATAAAATAACTTAATAGAATTACATTTTTTTAATTTTATGTATTTCATTGTTTTATTATGGATAATTGTATATATATGAAACTTTTTTTTTTTACTTAAAAAAAAGACTTAAAACATTTTTTCTACCAAAATTTCTGCATTTAAATAGCTTTCACCTCTTTATTTAGTCATAACTGAAAAAAAGTTTTTGAATAAATGATTAAGATTTGAAAAGATTAAAAAGTTAATATAAAAAAATATTTTCATTTGTTTACAAAAATTTTACCCAGTCAAGTTCTAGGTTTTTTTCTTCTAAATCAAAACTTCTACTAAATTTTATTTTATTTCTCATGCATATTGTCTTTCCTCCACCCTTACTAGATTTAAGTTTTTTGAATAGATTTGAATAGCCATTAACATTTAATAACAAAGTTAGTTCTATAATATGTGTTTTAGGGTTGGAATTGATCAGTTGCACTTAATAAAAGTTCATAAATTTATTATGTTTTAATGTTTTATGTTTTTTTTTCTTTTTTCTTCCCAAGGTCTTCGCAAATGGTGGTCGCATTTTTTTAACCGTTAAAAAAGCTAAAGTAAAGATAAAGATTAAAGATAAACTCAAATCAAAAGATAAATATTGTTTTTGAAAAAGTCACCAATAAATCATAATCACTAATAAATCATAATCAAGCTCTTATGAATTAATTTAAAACAAACAGTTAAATCAAGAGAAAAAATTTACAAAAAGATAAACAGAATTCGAACTAAAAAAAAACAAACAAACTTTTACGTAAAACAATAAAATAACAAAAAAAAAAAAAAAAAAGAAAGAAAGAAAGAAAAAAGTTAACAAATAAAAAGAAACAAAAAAAGGAAAAATTTAAAAATTTACAAACAAAGAATACTTATTTTTTAATGATTTAATTTGTAATATTTAAATTTGTAACGGATTTAATTTAATTTTATTTTGTAGAAGTATTTGTGATTGCCTTTTAATTTTGTATTTTTTGGGTTTCATCTTGTAGTTTTTGTATTTTGTCTTTTCGTTTGTGTAAGGTTTGTTTTTTATTTGTTCTGTTTCGCTAATTATTTTTATTTTTGTTTGCTGTTGTTATTGAGTTTTTTCATTTTTTTTGTTTTATTATTTAACTTATTTTAGCCTTATCGTTGTCATTATTATTTTATTTATTTGCCTAGTGATTTTTGGTCCATATTTGTTATTTTTATTATTATTTTATTATTATATTATTTGTTATAATTAATTGGTGTCACTCATTTTGATCATGAGTGACACTCATGTCATCAAATTATTTGTATAATTATAGATAATATTATTATTATTTAATTATTATTGTCATAATTATTTGGTGTCACTCCTTTGATCAGGCTTCTGTTTGAGTGACACCTTCCTTTTCTGATAATTATTTATATTTATTCTTATTAGTTATATTTTATTATAATTATATTGTTTGTATGATTATAAATATTATTATTATTATTATTATTATTATTATTATTATTATTATTATTGTTATTATATGATTATATGTAAACTTTGAAAAGGAAAATAAATATCTTGTTGTTGTTGTTGTTGTTGTTGTTGTTGTTGTTGTTGTTGTTGTTGTTGTTGTTGATGTGCAATCTTGAAACTCTTATTAATTTTTGATTTGACTCTAGTAGTCTATATCTAGTAGTCTCAATAACCCAAACATGACTAATTCAATAAAAACTATTTTTGAGTTATATACAAACACTAAAGTTAGTTGAGTACAAACTTTTTTTTTTTTGTTTGTAGTTTTTATTTTAGGTGTCTGAGAAGTCCTAACAGTCTCCCCAGTCTCCCCACTGAGCACTGCAAAGAAGTATTTAACTAGGAAGCCTCCTTCCTTACCAATGAGAAATTCTGCCCAGAGCTGGCTTCAAGTACTAGACCTCTTGCTTATAAAGCAAGCGCTTTAGCCACAGCCACTCAGATCTTTAGTTCAATTTTCATTACTGTTATAGTTAAATTAATGAAAATTTGTCAATACATTTTAAACTGTAAATTCAAAAACAAAATAAGAATGAAAAAATACACATTAAATTTCCTCAAACGAATTATACTATAAAGTGTAGAAGTATATATACAGTAGTTTGATTAATATTTAATTATTTCAGTTTGTTTATTTTATAGCTTCTGCTAATAACGCTTAAGTTAATGTTTCTGTGTATACTTATAATGTATTACTTTTTATAAATTTAACCCCTGTTTTAAAATTAACTTGTAGAAATCAAAGATTTTGTATTGCTCAGTATTTTGGGGTACCTGGTAAATACCTAACTCTCCAAGCGTATCTGGCTAGCTTGACTGAAACATCTATCGGTGAAATTGCTACAAAACATGTTGTTATTTGTTCTAAAGAACAATTACTGGGTGTATGTCACAAACTTGAAGTAAAGAATTATGACTATGGAAATCTAAGCGGATGGGGTGGTCACATCAAGTCTATTTATGTCTCAGGTATTTTTTATTTTGAATTGATTTGTGAAATAATGTATGAACATTTATTTAGAAATTTAATTATTTTGTAATAGTTTATGAAGTTTATGGCTGTTTCAAGGTAGACACACGGCTTCTTGTAATTTTGTTCTGTAAAAATATAAACACCAATAAAATGTTTTTTCTTTTAACATTTAATAATATGTCAAAACTTTCTTTGATTTTTGAATAAATGTGCAGGAATAACAAAGCTGATTTTGTAAAATTTAATGTTACTTTTCAGCAAATATCTAAAAATAAATCTAAAAATATATATATTCTGTTGTTTAATATTCTTAGACCATTTTAAAGCAAAAAAAGTTCTACTTAAATTTAATGTGAACTAATACAGGGATTAATAAAGTCAGACAACAAAATTTTACACTTAAAATAAAAACAAAAATTTACACAAAAACAAATTTAGTGTTAAACATGCAAAGTTTGAAAATATATTTGATAACATAGCTAAAAGTATAGAAAATAATTTTTTGATTTTCATGCTCATACATATATATAATTTTTATAATTTTTGAAGTTGTAATTTACTTACAAGAAGTTGATGTATGCACTGAAACTCCCATAAATCCTTAGTTGACTCAAACTCCAGCCAATAGCTATTTTATTGCAACACCAAAAGTAATATTTCATAGAAAGCTAAATCTAAATTTGTTTTTATTTTTATTTAAGCATTATAGTTTTTTTTTGTAGTTATGTAAGTTTCTTTTATTAGTTATGTAGTCTGTTTTGATTTTTATTTTAGATGGTCTGTTTGTATATGGCTATAGTCATGATAAGCAAAAAGGTAAAAAGTTGTTATTATATTTATATAAATTAAGGTGCTAGTTTCTCCAGACTTTTGTTCTATAATAATAACATCTAGAAAATTTCAATTTAGAACACATTTAAACTTGATAAAAATAATTTTTTTATTATAAGCAAACATAGGATTAATGTTTGTAAAATAATACAGTAGTATTATATCCATCATTTTTAATTTTTTTATAAAATTACAGTAATAGAATACTCCTGTTCCAAGGATGTAAGTGAAAGTGATATGGCAACTGTTTCATATAGTTTCTAAAATTTTATAGTTGCTCTATGTACCTTTTAAAGGAATTTATGTTACTGTTATTCTTTGATTTGCAAACATTTACATTTCAGTTCTGGGTATATACTTACATATAAGTTCGCCTATTTATTTTGTAATGAGTCCACTCAGTTATTTGCTGTTCACATTTTACTCCTAATATGGATTTTAAATCTCTTGTTCTACTGCTTAGTTGTTAATTGTTATAACAGAAAGGTTTTATTTGATGTAAGCAGCTATTGCTCTTGACATATCTAATGATTTCATTAAGTTTTGGCTGGTCTTCTTCTTTTTTTATATAGTTATTTCACCCACTTAACATTAAATAAAATTTATTAAATAACACTTTTGAATTTATCACAATTGTTTTGAAATCAATAAAAGCTTCTTTGTTCCATCTTTTAAGTCTTTTATTTCTTTTTTGTTTACTTGAAGCAGATGCTATACTTCAAGAGTAAATTTTTTTATTCAAAAAGTTTTTTTTACTACAAGACAATAAAAGCTGACAGCGTTTGATAAGGATGAAATAACATATTAAAACAAATTACAACATTAAATTGCGTGATAAAAATAATAAAAAACAAAAAACAACTCAGTTATAAGCATTCTAAATAAAGTTATACAAACATGCACATATATATGTTTTTATTGTTGATAAAAACCTTTTAATTAACAATATCATGTTACTTATCAAAACCAAATTTTGATTTATTTAAAAATAGCTCGCATATTGTTTTATAATACAGATTAACTCTCCCTCTCTATTTTCTCTTTCACTCTTAACAAATTAGTTTAGTTATTAAATCATTATTATAATTCTTTTTTAATATTAAAAATGTTTAATAAAATTTAAGTTTTATTTGCTACTTTAAAAAAAAAACATTTTAGAAATGCAAACCATGGCATAAATAATGATTACTTATAAAATCTAAGCATGTCTAGAAGCAATAATAATAATCTAATATAAATAGCAATAATAAAAATAAGGTCTAATTAATGTTAACAGTAATTACTTGATAAATGTAAATGTATGTGATAAATATTACTATAAAAACATTTTGTTTAGTGCTTTTCATATTTTTTTTATACTTTTGAAAAAAAATTTAAAACATTTTTTGAAGTTTGATTGATTATATAGATGACTTTCTGTGTAACATCACATCTTTTTGTAAACAACAAGTTTGCATACTTGTAGGCAGAAAACATTAAAACTTCCTAAGTATACATTCATAAGTTCATAATATAAATACATATTAGTTTTTTTTGCATTTCTTTTATATCCTTAAATAAAATTTTGTCTTCTTTTTGAAAAATGATTGAATCAATTAGTTACATAAAACATGTAACTAATTACATAAATAACTACATTTTTTTATACATTGTAAAAATTTTTTGTTATTTTTATAAACTTTGATTGCTATTAAAAACATGTATATATTTTAAGTTCTTCTGCAAATTTTATATTCAGATTGATCTCGTAAAACAACAACAAAAATTCTTATTAGCTTTTTAATTCATGTTGCTTTTAAAAATCTTTTGAAATTGAATAAATAACAATATTATAATTATATTATTTTTAAGTACTAGTTTAGGATTTTTTTAAGTACTAATTTGAGGTTAGGACTGTTCAGTATACTAATTTAGCATCTAAGGTTAGGGCTGTTCAGTATACTAATTTTATTTTAGAACATTGCTAATTGAAGTTTTTCTCATTTGACTATTATATTGTGGTTCAAAAATATTTTTTACCAAAATTTATTAATTGCCCTGAAAGTCTCTCAAAACCCTCAAACATTTGACAGATATTGTTTAAAAATGTTTTATTTAAAAATATGTCTACCTGGTACTCAATAGAAGCAAAATCATTTAAAAATTTCAAAAAATACAATCATTTTTTATAAAAATAACAACTTTAGTTGTTTTTTTTGATTAAAAACTATGGTTTTTAAACTAAAAATGAAAAAAGTTAATATTTACAAAGTTTCTTTAAGTTTTTTTTTTTTTATAAAAAATGAATCTAGTTTTTAAAACATCTATAAATTGTTGCTTATTTTTAGTACCAGGTTGACATGAGATTTTTTTATATATAATATTAAGAACCTGTCAAATGTTTGGGGGCTATGAGGGACCTCTAGGGCAAATAATAAAATTTAGTAAAAAATATTTTTGAACTACAATATGGTTGAACTACAACATCATTTAATTGGAAAAACTTCAATTAGTTATGTTGATAACTATAAGTTATTTTTTGATTTTGGCAATCAAAATTAGATTGCAAAAAATATATTTAAAAGTCTCATAATAATTTCCTTATTTAAAAGTCAATTAGAGCTATTTGAAGCAAGTATATGTTTTTTGGTAAAAGTGAAGGCCAATACAAAGCAACAAAAAATGTGAAATTTTTTGTTGCTTTGTATGTTGAAGTTTTGATAAATTTTTCATCGAAAAGTCAGGGAACTTTTATAAGAGTCAGGAAAAGGTCATGTAAAATGATCATAAAAATTTGCTAGACACCCTGAATATATACATCTTCTTTAATTAACTACACTCATATTGAAATGATCAAAGACATTCATATTCAACATGGTAACATATAACAAATTAAGTGAAACTGCGTTGCACCAGTTATATTGTTAATCTGTTTGTTGGTTTCAGTTTTAAAAAATATATAATCATGTTTATATAGTTTATAAAATATTTTATTATTAATATTATTATTACTTTTAATAAAAATTATAAAAAATATTAAATTTTTATAAAAAAACATATACCCTTTGAATATATAATACCTAAATGAATTTTTATAATAAAATGTTTCCCATTAATTATATGACCTTAGAGTCGTGTAATTAATGGGAAACATTTTATACATCAAATTCATGAACGTTATGAATAGGAACATAAGAAAGCTATCTAGATTTTGCGTCCAGATAATTGTAGTCTTTCATAAAACCTATGATTTTCTATGTTGCCCTAATAGCATTTAAAAAACTAAAGCTGGTATAGAAGGCTTTATTCAGCAAACTAATAAGTATATAACCTAGATACTATCATACTATTTTACATAAAAAAAACAAACATAATAGTTATCAAATAACAGCAGTAAATGAAAGCAGTCAGAACTCTATCAGCAGGAATATAGCCACCAGGTTTAAGTTTCTGATAAAATTTATTCTGATATAGTAATCTGTCTAATAGACAATTGACCAGTAAAGAGTAAAAAACTAGCTGCCCCAGCTGAATTTTGTTATATACCAATTAGACATTTATAATAAAACCATAACTAAACCAAATTTGCTAATGTGAAGCTTTTTATTATATTGTGCTTTGTAAACAAAATTTCTGATTTTTTTTTCTTTACAAGTATGCGCGTGCATTTTTTTTGAAAATGAGAATGTAAACATTTGCAAGTCATCTATACTGCAGCATGGAAAATAAGGCAAGCAGTCCATTTGACGAGCTAACACATGGAATTAACAATTAATTTTATTTTTTTTGATGGTCAAAGTTTTTGTTTTTTTCTTTGTTTAAATTTTTATCTGAATAATAGTTCTTCACAATTGAAATTAAACACACAAAAAATACAAGTTAGTTAATTTTTAAGGCTCAAATATTAACGAACTTGTATTCTTTTTAAAATAATAGTTTTAAATAAAATCAACATATTTTTTAAGTTTAAATTCGCAAATAACTAACGTTCAAATTACCTGCTTATGTTAATTTGTTTAAAATTACGTAAGCACAGATTTTCATTCAAATAGAAAAAGCAGTTTGATAAAATCCAATTAATCTAATGTTGAATTTTTTTTAAATATCATAATAAATTTTATACAATATTAAAAAAATTCAAACTGAATACTTAATACTTAAATAAATCATTTTATTAATGCAATTAAGAAATTGAGCATTGTTTGTCTCGCCTTTATTAAGACTGGTTGGCGTTTGATGTTTCAATTACAATTCCATAATAAAAATTGGTCTCCTAAATCTTTTATTGTTTATGTTTGTTCAGCACATTTTATTAATGATGGGTTACTTTTAGTTTACATCTTAATTTAGTATTTCTAAATAAATATCGAAATATCATCCCTCTTTATGCCCAAAAATAACCAAAATATTATGTAGACAACAATAAAAGGCATCATTTTATTTAAACAGAGCTTTAAAAGTGTGTAAAAATAAAGTAAAGCCACCTAGAAGACTTATGTTTTGCAGACATTTTTTCGTTGTTTCTTTAGATTAACTTTTAAAATAAATGTAGGACATAAAGTTATTGTTAAATAACGTTTTCTTGACTTCACGTATAAGAAAGAATAGTTTGTTTTTCCCTAATTCAATATGGTTTTGCAATGTAGTCACATTATTCCAACTGGATGAATAGTACAGTATAATTAAAAGTATATGTATATATGTATATGTAACTTTTATTGTATATTGAACCAAAAAGTTATAAAATAAATAAAATAGTTTTGAAGATTTTTGATTCAGATAGTTCAGATTACATAATTTATTGATGTATATATTTTCTTCAATATATATATAGACTCTGACACAGTGCATTTTTCCAGTTCTTTTTAATGAATAGTTTCATGGTATCTCACACAATGCATTGTTATTTTTAATGCTTGTTACTGCAGTACCATTTTATATACATAAATGTTTATTTACTAATATAAGTACTTACTTGCTTAAACAAAAGAATAAAATAACTATAGAAAAATTTTTATACTATTTCTAACATAATTATTTTGCCTAACAATGTTTCTGATGATTTTCTTATGGATTACCTTGATTCTAGTCAGTGAAAGCTGGATTATCATCAAAAATGTTATTGTTTTATATACAATTTTTTCGTTGCTGTTATTATCATTGTTATTGTTGTAAATTTTATTATTATCTAGGTGTTTCATATGGGGCGTTTGTAGGACCAACTGTAATTGGACTTATACCTGGTAATTGGTATTCTGTAAAAGTTGATCTAATCTTAAAAAAAGTGAAGCGTGTTAGAGTTTGCGAAAAAGAAAAACTGAGTCAGGTAATTCCATTTAAAAATATTCTATTAATTAAAAATGTAGGAATACATATAGTGCAAAGCACCTGTTACCATAGCTCCCATTTACTACAATCGCAGATAATTTTTTAAAATGAAATGATTTCAATATTCAATATCTGTTAGAGTTTTAAACAAACCTTTTTTTGAGTTAGTACACCAAAATTAATTTTGAGTTAATACACCAACAAGCAGTCCACTATAAATACCAAACAGCAGTCCACTATAAATATTATTTATATATCCCAACAAGTATAACAGTCCATTATAAATGATATTGTATTTTGTTTGCAGTCATTTTAAATTCTTTGTTTTTACACTTGCAGGGATTAAATATTTTATATTAAGCTGTATTTTTTTACTATACTTAATTTTAAGCATCAATTTATTTGGTACTCTATTAAAAGCTTTTTCAAGTTCAACATTTTTTTAAAAAAAATTCTTACCTGAACTTGCCTTAAAAAAATTATTTATTGTTTGCTTTTATAGTAGTAGTAGTAGTAGTAGTAGTAGTAGTAGTAGTAGTAGTAGTAGTAGTAGTAGTAGTAGTAGTAGTAGTAGTAGTAGTAGTAGTAGTAGTAGTAGCAGTAGTAGTAGTAGTAGTAGTAGATTATTTTTTTAAGATAAAAAAAACGTAATATAAATAAGAAATTTTAGATAAAAAATAAATAATTAATAATAAATTTGAATAAAAAATATCAAGAAATATAAAATCCATTAACTGTTAATTAAGTTTACAGCGTAACATTTTTAAATACATATATCAAAACAACGTAGGCAAAAAACTAAAATTAGACTTTAATACTGAATCAATAAGAAGTTGCTTTTTTGTTTGATATTATTTTTTTTACCATAAAAAAGTTAAAAAAAAATTGCGATCTGATGCACACAATATGCAAGAAGTTTGGAAGTATAAAAATCTACTTCGTTGATGTAGTTTTATAAGTGTGATAATAATTCAAAAATTTGTTGATGAAAGAATGATGTTACAAATAAATAAAGATATAAAAAATAAAAAACTTTTTATGAGCATCGTCTTCACCAATTTTCATGATCGCGCTCGCTAATCTCGAGCACGCATAATCACGCTCGATTAAAACATATTCTAATTTTGCAAACGCGATATAACACGCTTAACAATTTTTTTCATCACAAGCCCTGAGTATCAGTAGTAGTAGTCTTTTCCTTTCGAGTGTGTTTGACATAGAACTCTTGGCATCCAATGCAACCAAGGTAGTAGCATTTGCAGCAATTTTTTATTTAAAAGTGTAAAAAAAGTGTATGCAGATTTAAACTATGTTAAATTTATCAAGTTTTATAGCTTTACTTCACTTAAACATTGTATTGTGGCAATATCTTCTTAATTTTAATCAATAGCATTTATTTCTGATTTATAAAATCTTATTTTTCGTTAAATAGTTTTAAAATCATTGTCAGGCAACAGGCTTGTGTGGCCGAGTGGTTGTATAGCAGAGCCGCAAAAGCAAAGCGCTATGGTTTGAATCCTACCACTGACTTTTTTTTTTTTCAATTTTTTTTTAATTTTTTTAATATAAAAAATAGAACACTTTTGAAGTTTTATAGATATTATAAACATAATATATGTAAAGTTATACTCTGTAACAAACAAAAGAGGAAAAATTAAAAAAAAAACCTAAAATTTCTAAAAACACTGGTAGAAATAAGTTGCACATATGTCAAGGTTGTTATGTTGTCAACATGTTCAGGTAATTAGTTCTAATAAGCTGCGGATGGTCTAAATAAAGATTATGATCTAAAGCTCAACTTAAAAAAGGAGGCAAAAAAAAAAAAGCTAGCAAAAACTTAAAAACTTATTTTAACTATTTTATATTTTTTTGCTATATTTATTTTTTTACTATAAATATATACGCCCAGATTAAAAAATCAAAAATGTTTTGTATTAAGAGGGGAATTTGACATACCTAACTCCCTGTTACCCCTTTTCTGGTCTTCCTTTGCCCTATAAATTTGATAAAGCCCTAATGAATGGTATTTTATTTCTAAGCCTTTATTTTGAATACTGTGAGAAATGTCATGTCGCCTATGTTAGAGATGCTTATGTTAAATATTTATACAATCAATAAAATTAATCTGCGTATTTAGAACATTAAAAAGATGATTTTTTTTTTGAAAGTAGGAAGGTGTTTTTGTTTAATTAAGACTTTTTCTTTCGAAATAAATAAACAGTAAGAGTTCTAATGAGCTCTAACTATGCAAATAAAGCTTATTAATTTTTTTTTTGCTCTGAGAGCAATGTTTAAATGAATTATTTTTTACCATATATTCAAAAAACATTTAAGTAAAGAAAAAGAAGAAAGATAAATAGGTATAAAAAAAAGGTAGGTAATAAATTTCCCTAGACCCATATTTTATTGGTCATGACAGCTAGTTAGTATTTTATAATTTTACATAATTTGCAGTATTTAGTAATTTAACATTTAAGTATTTAAATTATTTATTTAAGGATGGAAGATGTGATGATCTTTCTATAAAAGAATATCCTGATTTGAAGATAGTCAGTGGAACTGGTATGTGCTTTTCTATAGAAGTTGCTATCTTACTAGTTAGTTACTAGGTTTTACAAATTAGTTACTAGCTTAGTTACTAGTTAGTTACTAGCTTTAAAATCATCAGAAAAAACTACTAAAAATGACTTTTAGAGTTTTAATTATTTAGATAAATGATTTTTAACAACTTTCATCTTTACCATTTTTGAAATAAGTTTTTAACTGATATAACTTACAAATAAACCAGAAAAATGTCATTAATAAGTAGATAACTTAGGATGAAATGTCATCAGGTTATATAGTGGACTGAGGATAAAATGTCATCAAGAAGTAAATTGTGGACTGAAGACAAAATTTCATCAAAAAGTATATAGAGAGCTTAGCATTGGTAAATAAAAAAAATTAATTCCTTTTAACTAATAGAAATTTTTTTTCATATTTAAAAAGTTTTAAAAATGACACTTCATGAAAGAAAAAAAGAAATAAATTCATAGTGGGATTAGAATGATTTTGTTTGGTGATATTTATATAGAATATACATAAAAATTTTAAATTTTTAATCATTTATCAATTATCTTGAGTAATCTTATGGCATTTGCTTATGCTTTTGCCAGCTTTTAAATTTATGGATAAGTTTTTAGAAATTAATTTATCAGGTAATGGTAAAAAAAATTATAAATCAAAAAAATTTATTAGTTCTTTTCAAACAATAATATGTTAAAGATTCCCTATTTTTATTTTTTGCATTTAAAATGTATTTTAATAAATAAAAGACTAAAAGAATTTTTTTATGATTTATTTTTCAATAAGAAATTTTAAGAAATAAAAGGTGTCAAACAAGTCTTCTCTCATTTTTTTTTATTTATTTAAATTTAATCTACAAAGGAAAAATCTGTGAAGCTGGGAAAGCAACCAATCCCTGCTATGGTAAATCCAGTATAGAGGATTACCAAACAAAAATAAAAAAGAAATTAAATTATCAGTACATTGACTTAATAACATTCCCAAACGAGAAACAGAAGTACCAATCATACAGTTTTTTTTGGAAGTGAGTCAAAAAATCTGTCAAACTTTTTTTTGAAAGTGTTAATGTCGACAATATCTGGTACATTTCTATCAAAGGTAATGATATCTGGTGGTATCGCATTCCAATCAACTGCAACACAGTTACATAAAAAAGTTTTGCGAACTACACATTTAATAATTCTTGGTGCCCGAATGCTATGGAGAAAACCCCAAAGACCACTGGCTGGTCCAGGTTGCGCAAGTGCAGGAGCAGGAGATGGTGATTTGATCTATTTAATTTTGCTTAGGCCATGGTAAATCTTAAAGTATTGTATAAGATCACCTCGGCGCCTTCGATTTTCAAGTGATTGGATACCAATAGCTGAGCAGCATTCCTTGGGTTTCATAGTTCGCAGATTTGGGCCAAGTTTTGCGGCTCAATTTTGAACAGCTTCAAGAACTTTTATATTTTCAATTGAAAAGAGTCCCCAAGAATTTGGAGTATTGATGAACAATACTCCAAATGAGGCCTTACATAAGAGCAGTAAAGGATCTGGAACATTTCAAGAGTCCAATGTTTGAAAGTGCGTCTAAGAATTCCAAGAACAGTATATGAATTTGAAATAGCTTTTGCTACTTGATTGTTCCAGGAGAACCGATTGTGAACAACAACACCAAGATCACATTCAGAGATGTGAGAAAAGCCAGTTTTGTCAGTCACTGTTAGTTGGAAGCAGGGATCATTAAATTTATCATCAACAAAAGTTTTGTTGTTTAATTGCGAAGATGCTTGTTAAAAATGGTATAACTGCATTTTTTATCAAATTTCATATGACTGCATTCTTTATCAAAAATTATTATTTTTTTCAAATTTCATATAACTGTTCAAATTTCATATAACATATAAAAATTATTTTTTTATTAATATAACTGCATTCTTAATCAAATTTCATATAAATGCATTTTTTTATCAAAAATCATATAACTGCATTCTTTATCAAATTTTTATAACAAATAGCTTAGCATTATAAATAGCAAATAGCAAAATGCATTAATGTAACAAAACAAACAATATGATCACCCAAATTTCATCCAAATTCTGTCATTCTTCATTCACTCACTTAAAGAACTAAAAAAAATCATTCAAAGCTTTAATTCTTGAGTAAACTACTCTGTCTGTCTCCTTCTAAAAACAGATTTTATGCTGCTTTTGTTGTGTCTTTTGTTGAGACATTTGCATCTTTTTTTTTTTTACTTGATATTTTGGATCAAGAAAATACCAAACAATACTATTGCCAAATATTAACTGTAAGAAATGAATTTATGAAGTTAATTAATTTATGTTTGATTTCATCTGATTACTTGTGTTTAGTTGGTTTAACTTTTACAACTACTTTTGGCAATCCAATTAAGGATTCTTTTCTATACACATAAATAATTTTTTGGCTAATACAGGTTTTACATAAAAATTTCGCTAACTCTGGTTTTTAAATTTGTTACAATAAAAAGCATTGAAAGATACATTTTTCTCTGATGAGCTATTATGTTACATTATGAATTATTTTTTTTTGTCTATATTGTTACATAACACATTTTACTTAACACATTTTATGGAAAAGCTCTTAAATCATTTTTTATGGAATTGTATTTGGGGTACTGCTAACAAGACTCTCTAAACTAAAAAAAAATTTTAAAAACTTAAACCATTAACCTTTTTTTTATATTTCTGGCTGTCATGATGTTATTTTAATTATTTTTTATTACTCTTTTGAATAAGACTGTCTTTATATTTAATATATTATAATTTTCTTACAGTCTTTAAAAAAATTATAATATATTAAATGCAAGTGGCTGAGAATTAATTAAAACCCACAAGTTATAAGTCATAGCCACAACTGTTATCAATATATATACATTTATTTTTTAACATCATCGCTTCCAACAAGGCTGCAGGCAACCACTATCAGAGCTGGAAGTTACTGGAAGAGATAAGATGAAGTTTATAGTGCAAGATAACGGTTGACATACGGCTTAAAAGATTGCAAATTATATGAATCAGAAAAGCAAGATAAAGGAAGCCAATTCCAAAGAACTAATGCTCGAGGAAAAAAACTAGTTGAATAAGAGTTTTTGAAACACTTAGGAACAGTCACAGTAAATGGATGAGACTTATTTGAATGAAGAGTAACACAAGAATGAGTTTTAGTAGATGGCACAAAAGGTGCTAGCTCTTTAGAGCAGTGCACAGTGGTCCAGTACAATGCCATAAATACAAAAAAAAGTTTGTTATATAATAAAAACAGTTATATATGTTATGTGAAAACCAGATTTAAATTTTTAAGGTCTGTAATTAAAAAAAATTGTCTAGGGAAGGTTTGAAGTTCAAAATTTGAAGAAATTTATATTTTTTCAGCCAAAAACTGGTCTGCCACATTTTGTACATGCTTACTTCTGATGATGTCATAGATAAATCTTTTTCTTCTTTTTTTTAATATTTTTATAAAATATGGAAAATCAGTATAAAATAATTTAAAATATACAATTTTATAAAAAAGGAACAATAAACTCTATGCTTAATACATTTTAATTATAAATTGTTTAAAAATAAAACTAAGATCAACCAGGAAAATTTTTGCCCAGGTTTTCCCACCTTGAAAATTTTTGCGTTTAAAAATATGTTGTTTATAGAAAATTTTTGGAAAAGTTTTGGCTGCTTTTGTTTGCTTTTTTATTTATAGGGCCATTCCAAAGTTTAATTAGTAAGGAAGCAAAAACCGATGTTTGTATATTGATTTCTCAATGTTATCCAAACTACAATCAGATGAGATTAACCAAAAATTAAAAAAAAAACTTTAAAAAGAAATGGAATGAGACAGGTAGACAAAAAGGAAGATTTATAAATTGTTACGAGAAATTGTTAAATATTGAATTTATTGTAAACGAACCTCAACAGCAAGTCATGATAAAAAATGTGCAACGAGGTGCACCTTCAAAATCATTTTAAGATCTCTTCACAAGGTCTAAGAAAAGAAAATCTTCAGAGATTGCTGAAAAGTTACGTGTTACCACTGAAAGTCTGTTTCATGCCCTTATCCTCAATCTCAATAAAAGAGGATTTAAAGATGCCAAAGTTATAAAATATTTGATGGAAAGTTAAACTGATGAATCCTGTAACATACCATGCTCTAAAAGCTACTCAGCAGAAGAAGCTTTAGCTTTAATGTTAGACTGTAGAATGAGTAAGACTAACTATCAAACTGTCTGTCAAGGGGCCTTAGATAAAGGTTGCATGTTATACCTTGCTTACAATTTATTATGAAAGCTAAAAGTGATTGCATTCCAGATTCCGGAATCGTCACATCAAACTACAGGGCATCTGTGAATATGCAAGGAATAATGGATCATATACAAACAGAATTTGGAAAGTTATAGATAAATCGAAACTACCTGAGCCTTGAAATACGTTATTTCTTATAAGCAAAGTCAGATCCGATGGTTCATCTGGGCAGTCTGTTTATAAACAGAAAACTGAAGATGAAGAGGACAGATTGCCAGTTTCAGTAGAAGAATCTTTGTTTCTTTCATGTACAGTACCTGTGCAACTTAAAATACAGGAAACTAATGTTATTCTTTGGACTAACCCCAAAACATCCTCAACTCAATATTGATGTTCTGTTTGAATGTAATACATTAAAGAAAATCAAAGTTGTTAAAGCAGAATATGATTTTTTTATGTCAACTGAACTCAGAGCAACCATAGACTTATCTCAAGTCAAGCACAAGTTAGAATGTACTATGATTGATGGGAAAGTTTCCACTTTTCTTTCTCCATTAAGTGATTCTTATCAGGTTTGCAATATATGTAAATTTTATCCTAAAAAAATGAATAACTTTGTAATGGTTTACAATAGACAACCAAACCAGATGTTTTTGGACCTTGGAATTCACATTCTACATCTCTGGATTGGTTATTTTGAATGTCTGTTGCATATTGGACAGAGAAGGAAATTAGGATA